TTTTGGGGTTTTTTTTGGTACCAGGGATTGAACTCAGGACCTTGCACTTTTGAGGCAGGCGGTGGAAGCACTGAGCTAAATCCCTGGCCCCACAAGGTTTTAATAGGGCTTCTTTTTAAGGAAGAAAATTGTAAATATTCTGTAGTCCTCTTGTAAATATGTAAATATTGCTACATATTATAACCTCTTATCCTTGCAACCATCCCACAAGATAGATTATTTTCTCCACTTTGCGTGAGGCAACTGGTAATGTGAGAGATAAAGCTGTTGGCTCAGTCACATAGCCAGTTAATCTAAAATGATACTTTGTACCCTGTGCATTTCAAAAACCTCTGCTTTTAGTCACCAGAGAGTACTGCTTTCTGGTATCAAGGAACAGGCTTCATTTATTATTTATCTCTTTTATTGCAAAAGTAATGCATTAATTAATTAACCCTAGAAAAGTTATACACTGCGCTAGAAGAAGAGAACTACAGAATATTTACAATTTTCTTCATTAAAAAGAAACCCTATTAAAACCTTTGTTTATATACCTTTCCTTGAGTGCATTGATTTATATATGTATTTCTCTAAAAATGACATCTGATAAATCTTTTGAAACCAACTGTTTTACTTTTAACTTTGTTCAACTTATATTGTTGAACATTTTGGCTGTTGCAATATTTTGATATTACAAACAGCTTACAATAGAAATAATTACCTAAAATGTGTAAATAAAATCAAAATGAAAGACAAACACAAAAAATTCAAAACTATGGACAGTAATGCAAGAGATGAGTAGGTTGTAAAATCACTCGTTTTGTAGTATATCCATAATACAGTACTGTGATAACAAGTAACTGATGAATATTTGCTTTTGAGCAGAGCAAGATGTTGAGCAAGCTTCTGAGTATTTTCAGCAAAATCTTTAGTAGCCTGAGGCAGGAACTGTAAGCAGGGGTTTTGGCTCTAGGCAGAATCCCAGCATGGAATCTAATCACTACAACTAAAGCCATGCTGTCCTGAGAGGATTGTGCCCAGGGGGATAAGCCATGAACCAAAGAATGGAAATGATGGATGTAATAAGGAGAAGTAAATTTCCAGATCAAAACATTCAGCTGTCAGATATGGAGCACACAGGTAAAACCTGCCTAGTGACAAAGGGAACTGATACAGAATTCCAGAACATTGGATCAAAACTAGGTAAATATCTTGTGACAGAGGGCATCAGATTGGGCCTGGTATGAGCTACGTTGGGTACTAGTTCTATAGGGTTCCAAAGATTAGGAAAGTGGCAGGTTCTGACATTTGGGAGTTTTGCAGGAGAGTAACATAAAATGTAGTAGGAACTGTGGGAAATTAAAATGCAGTGGAGTGTAGGTATATTACCTTTCCACTACTGTGATTAAATATTAGAGATTGTACACATTTTTAAGGAGGAAGGGATTTCTTTAGCGCATGGTTTCAGAAGTTTCAGTCCAGGACCATCTGACTCCATCGCTCTGTGGTGAGGCAGAACATCACATCAGGGAAGGTGTATGTGGTAGAGGAATGCTGCTCATCTCATGGCAGCTTGGAAGCAAAAAGAAAGACTGGAAGGGTTGGGTCCCAATATCCCCTCTTAGGCTCAACCACCCCTGCCCAGTGATCTAACTTTCTTCCACTAGGCCCTATTTCCTAATGGTTCTGCCTCCAAATAGCTATAGACTGGAGACCAAACCTTTAACACTGGACCTTTGGGGACATTCAAGTTCCAAACTATTGGGCAAGGAAGTGATTTAAGAGGATTCTTTTTTTGGGGGGTATGGGGGATTGAACTGAGGATACTTTTTGATACTATTGTGGTAGCCATTGGAAAGGAGGAGAAATACTTTGGAAAGTGGTAGGAATTACGTGTAGAAAGACATCTCAGTAAATAAATTATTACACCTATAATTGTATTTCTCTTAATATCACAATTTTGGCAAACAAAATGTGGCTGATTTTTGGCAGCCTGTTATGCCATCATTCCTTTCATTAAAGTTTTAGCTGGTGTATTGAAATTTTCCTTTATTACAGAGGTCTTCCACAACTATGCTGTCTTATGATTACAGTTTAATATATTATTATGCTTTAAAATTAAAAATTATCTTTTCTGAGTGCTATGAAAGCCATCACAAAATTAATGACTAATGTGCTAGAAAGAAGTTTCAATTAACTTTCTTGGATATTGATCAGATAAACACTAAGATTTATGACTATACTCTGACATCTTCCTTAGGTAAATGCATAGTTGCTTTGAGTAACTTTCTAAGCCAGTGGTTTCCAAACTCTGGGAAGTGTCACTTCTGATTTAATTTAAAGAGACCTTTTTTTGTTGTTGTTGAATGTCTTTGTTTCTTGTTTATTTTTGTTGCACCCAGAGTAACAATCATACAGAAGTCAATTTAATGTTTTTTAATTAGCAATAACTTTTTTATATTTCTAGAGGTATAAAATTTGAAAACTTCAAAGTGTCTTGTAAATATTACAGGAGCACCCTTCAATTAACTATACCTAATAGGTAGATTATCTTTGGTTCTTTGAATTTACCCAGTCTTACCTGAAAATGAAAATCATTTCTCACTTTTCCGTGGAATTTTCTAACATATATATTTGTTACTGAAATTACAAAGTAATCTCTACTTGTAAAAAAAGCAACTTAAAGCAACACTGGATGTAGAATGTCCTCTCTCCCATCTTCAGAATAGCTGTATAAACAGCACGAAGCACATCTTTCCAATTTTCTTAGAGTTCTGCTTGTGTATACACGTGTGCACAGTCTGTGCATTCATCACCTGCTCCTCTTCTTTCTTGTTCCCTTCCCCTCTCCCCCCCACCTCTTTCCTTTTGTTCTTGTCCTCCTACTTCTTAACATAAGTGCTTAGTACACTACCAAAGGAAAGAAGCCAATGGTTCTGTTATCTATGCTTTACTGATTTTCACTCGAGTGAAGCTTATTTTCTTCGTCCTTTTCTCCCTTTGCCCACCATGAAGATTTAATAAATTCAGACTCTGCTTTGATTCTGTTTATCCTCAGTAGCCAAATTAGGAAATGTCCCAGAATAGTTGCTCAACTTTGTAAAAGAGAGTCTGGGTTCTTTCTCCTGGGGATAGCCAGCTATGCAACTTCATTTCTGGCTTCCCTGGTGATTGGCTTGGCCCCAGTCCCGGAGAGGCATTTTGTAGCAGTTGATTCCAAGTATAAAGTTTCTCTGGGATTTCATTTTTGCAGCATTCTTCTGTGCCTGTTACTGGTTGAGGTTTCCTGTCATTTTCCTATCATTTCAATCATGTCTGATTTTTGTCTTCTAGAATTTTTAAACAGTTTGTTGTGTTGATAGTGGACCTTGTATTGTGTCATTTCAGTGGGATTTAGGGAGGATTGAGTTGTATTTGAGGGTGCAGTTAACACATTGAACCTCCCAGAGGTCTAATCTTTCTGCTATCTCTGGTCTAACTTCTTTGAAATTCATTGAGGAAAAGAAGTTATTTGCATAATACCAAGAATCAACAAATTAAAAAGCTTCTGCACAGCAAAGGAAGCATCCAACAGAGTGCAGAGACAATCTACAGAATGAGAAAAAATTTTGCCAGCTACTCCTCAGACAGAGGATTAATATCTAGAATACATAAAGAACTCTCAAAAATTCAGATCCTTCCAATATGAAAGACCCCATCGAAAATGGTCAACTAAAATAGACACTTTTCAGAAGAAGAGGTACCATAAGTATATAAAAATGTTCAATATCACTGACCATTAGAGAAATGTAAATCAAAACAACACTGATTAGTCCAGTAAGATTGACCATCATCAAGGACTCAGAAAAACAACAGAAGCGGCCAGGGTTGTGAGGAAAAAGAAACCCTTCTATATTGTTGGTAGGAATGTAAACTAGTACAACTCCTATAGAAATCATGATGGAGATTCCTGAAAAATTAAGTAAAAATAGAAATCTATTTGGTTCAGTTGTATGTCTAGGTATCTTCTTCGTCAGTGTTAAAGTCATCACAGTACAGTGATCCATGCATACTCATGTTTATAATAGCACAACTCACAATAGCTAAATTATGCAAATGGCTTATATGCCCATCAACAGATAAATGGAAAAAGAAAATGAGGTATATATATATAGTAGAGTACTGCTCTGCCATAAAGAAGCATAAATTTGAGTTATTTGTAGGAAAGTAGATGCACCTTGAGCCCACAGTATGAAGTAAAATAAATCATTCTCAGAAGTGAAATGTTGGGTGGTTTCTCTAATATAAGAGACAGAGCTTAAATATTGCATAGTTTCTCTACTATGAGGGACCCAAAATATAAATAATATAAAAGAGCAAAATAAAGACAGTTGGTAGAAAACAAGGAGGTAGATTCTGTGGAGATACGAAAAGGATCTGAGGAAGGAGGGAGAGGAGAGCAGGGGGGCAGGGGGAGAAAATGATTAAAATGTGATATGCATTTGTATCAGTTCCTCTAGATGAATGTAATTCAAAAGGAATGTATCACAGACATATGCTAATAAAACATTAAAAAAAAACTTTGCAGTTCCTCTGGTTTGTGTTGGAATTTGAAGGAATTTCTTTTTCTATTCCAGTCTTGCATTTAATGTTTATCATAATGAAAGCACTGAGGTCCCTTGCTATCTGCCTGGGTGTGTAAATGACAGCACTGCCTGACAAAGCACATTCATGGGATTGCAAGGTGTTACTTTCAGAGGCCAGTTGCTAGTACAGAATTCACTTGGACATTTTTATGTAATAATTCTTACTTCATTTGCACATGTAAATTCACTTTTTCTAATATATATCTTTGTGTCTTATTTCCAGAAGACTGAATAGTTTCTCTTTCCATTTTCAGTATCTAGATCAGTTGGAGATGTAAAAAATTGTAATAGTAATTTACCACAGGCACGTGGCACTTAGTTCATACTTCTTAAAATGATTTCTTAGTAACTACCAGAAACAAATGACTGCCTCAGCATTTTGTTTGTTTATTTCAGGAAGGAGAAAACATTTTCTACTTGGCAGTTGAAGATATAGAAACAGATACAGAACTTCTGATTGGTTACCTGGACAGTGACATGGAGGCTGATGAGGAGGAACAGCAGATTATGACAGTGATCAAAGAAGGGAAAATTGAAAATTCTAAAGGACAATCAGCAGCTGGCAGAAAAGGTATTGCAACCTTAATTGGTGTTCTGAGAGAATAAAAGCAGTAAAAGAAATACAGTGTGAACTCTCTGAGTTATATTTGCGTTATAATACAGCATTGTCAGAGAAAGAGGGTATGAAGCTGTATGTTCACTGATCAGTCTGAAAACACCAGGTAAGTCGCTCTCTGAGCATTTACTTTCTCATCTCCACGTGGGAAAAAGAGTGCAGAGATGAAGTATACAGGAGGACCCTGCTGGATCCCAGAGGATTGAGTCCTGGGCCTTGCTCTTGTTTGAGGTCCTTTGGGAATCCTGAACTTCTGGGATTCTCTTTCTGTCTGATCACAGAAGCCTGCAGGATTGCTAGTTTGTCTTATTCTGATGACTTGTAATTTGTGATGGCCATAGGTTAGACTTACTTAAACCAGTCCTGCAATCTAGGAGATAGATTTCACATGCTTGTCAGCTGTTAGAAATGAAACTATTATGATTGGATCTTGTGTCTGTTATGTTGTGTTTTATGTGTGAAGGAAGTTTGAGGGAAATGTGAACGATGTTTTATAGGTGTTCACATTTTGTAATAGGCTGTTTCTCAGTCCACTTGGGCTGGACTGGGTAATTTATGAAAAATGGAAATTTATTGTTCACAGTTTTAGAGCCTGGGAAGTCCAAGGTCAAGGCATCAGCAGATTTGGTGTCTGGTGAGGGTCACCACGCACCTCACAGATGGCACACTCTACCTTTGTCTTCCTATGATGGGAAGGCAGACGAGCTTCCTTATACTTCTTTACAGGGCACCAGTACCATTTAAGAGGGCAGAGGCCTTGAGGACTAAATACTCCTGAGAAGTCCTGTCTCTTAGTATTATTCCATAGGGATTGAGTTTCAATATGTGCTTTTAGGGATTCACAGACATTTCAGACCACAGGAGGCTGTATTTTTCCATTTTGTGGAGCAAAACCACTTTAGCAGTGACTGGTTTTAGTAGTTGCTATGAGAGATTACTTTCATAGGAAGTTCCAATTCTGGCTGTATGTCACTGACTAGAAAGTATGAGTATTCTTTCACCCTTGCCTGCTTATGTCTCCTTCTTTATTTTAATTGGATTGTTTAAGTGGAGAGGCTCAGTCTGTGATATTTTTCAAATATGCATTGAACTGTTTGAAACATCAGACTTTGGCAATTATTTCCGTATTTGTTTTTTGAGGGTATTTATTTTGTCTCCATAACATTTAGGATTTCTTATTATTTTGTTCATTTTTAAAATTTAAAAGTAAAATGTTCCTGTTTGCCTTTTCCTGCCCTAATTTGTTTTGTTATGAGAATAACAGTTTTTATTATTTGTGTGAATGGAATCCACAGAATCTTAAAGAGATTTTTAAACATATCAACCAGGTACTTGTATTATTGCTATTTTTGTTTTAGGATTCTTAAAGACTCATTTATAAAATCAAAGAAATAAAAAACCCAGCAAAAGAAACAAAGAAGCCGCTCAGATCTCTAACAATTGAAAGATTGGTTAAATAAATTATAGTACCTTTAGTTTTAAAAAGTTTACTTGAGATATTACATAGAAAAAAAGAGCAACATGTGAAATTGTGTATGAAGTGTGATCATCACTCACTCCACCTGCTGGAATCAGCAGTGCTTTTTATGACTTTGGTCTTTTTTCACACATGTGTTACATTCCCCTTGGTAATTCAAAAGTTTGCTTCAGTTGGATTTTTCTTCTTGTGAAGCAGGGTGTGAAAAAGGGAAAAACCTTGATAATAACTCTTTGGTCTGACATGTTAACATAGGATAAATTAAAATTTGAATTTGATTTTGTATTAATTCAGCAAAACCCAAGTAAATAATTTTAAAAATAATGTATGTCTCTTCAGTAACACCTACTGTCATTGTTTTGTGGACAAGACTTTTCTCCACTGAATACAATTAATTTGATTTTAAAACGAGAGCAAGAACTAGTAGTTCTTGGCTCTGAATTTCTGTGTTGTAAATATGCTTCCTCCTCCATGTGCAGATGCCCATGGCTGTGAAAAGGACTATGCCTGTCCACAGTGTGAATCGAGCTTTGCCAGTGAGGAGATTCTTGCTGAGCATCTCCAAACTTTGCACCAAAAGCCTACAGAGGAGAAAGAATTTAAGTGCAAGAACTGTGGGAAGAAATTCCCAGTTAAGCAGGCTTTGCAAAGACAGTACGTACATTAAAGAATATCTTTGAAATTATAGCTAACACTTCAACTCTTCCCTTTGGCTTGTCTGATACTTTTTAACCTCTGTGTGTGTGTGTGTGTGTGTGTGTGTGTGAGAGAGACAGAAACAGAGAGAGATTAGGCATTCTACATTTGCATTAATTCATCTTGTCATCTAGTGTGTTGCTTTTTGAAATATTTGATTATGAAGTTGTAAGGAAACAGTTTTATGCTAATCAGTGTTTGTCCATTTAATAACTTGCCACTCAATATCAAACTCATTGGTTTACTAATATGAAATTCAGATATATATATTATTTAGCCCATGTTTTGAGGTTACAGATCCTAAATTTCAGTTATCACCATTTGCTATTCCCTCTGAAATCAGTTAAAGTTTTAAAAAATGTAGAATGTTCAGAGTATGAAGAATAAGTAGACATTTTGGGAAGAACTATTTCTTTCACAGCAACTTTGGAGGAATAATTAAATAAGTACAGGATATGACAATATGATGAATTAAATGATATGCACAGATCTTAACCCTTTATTATCATAACAGTCTATATTAACAATATGTATTATTGTTTTATTTAAATATTTTACAGGATGAAGAATTATTAAAAGTGATCATGAGTTATATTTAACAGAATACATATGAATAAAACATCTTACATATGAATAAAAAATCTTTAATGTGGGCTTAATATTCTTTTTGTGTTTCATTAAAGTTCTAAAGTGTGATCTCGCATATTAAGGCCTTTTCCATATATATATAAAACACACACACACTCATATATATATAGTGGTGCTTATGACATTTGAGAATAAAAATTTCTTCTTAAATTCAATGTTTAAAAAATTAAAACTTTATAATAGCAGATAAACATTTAGAGATTCTATTAGTTTCTTTTAAAAAAGCCCCCTGTGTTTATAGCAGCACAATTCATAATACCTAAATCTTGGAAGCAGCCTATATGTCCATCAGCAGATCAGTAGATAAAGCAAATGTATTTATATACAATGAAGTACTACTCTGCTATAAAGAAAGCTGTTATAAATTTGTATCATCATAGTAAAATGAGTGTACCATGAGAACATAATATTTAGTGAAATAAGTCAGACACACAAGATTAAATATTGCATGCTTTTTCATATATGAGAACTCAAAATATAAATGAAGAGCAAAATAAAAGATACAGGGCCAGGGATTTAGCTCAGTGGTTCTGCTGCCTGCCTTGTAAGCACAAGGACCCGAGTTCGATCCCTGGTACCAAAAAAAAAAAAAAAAGAAAGTAAGGAGATAGGAAGATAGAGCTTTTACAAAAGGGAAAGGGATGAGGAGATGGAGGGAGGGGGAGGGGAGAGCAGGGTGAAAAAGGAATTGAGATGTGTTTTTTACACAGACTGTCTCTACATAAGGAGTGTAATCATGTGCTACAAACGTACTAATAAAAAATAAGAATTGAAAAACTAAAAAAGCCACCAAACAAGGACTATATACTTTTTAATAAATATACTCAAAAACTGCATTCTAGTCAGCATTTTTACATTTAGGACTATGTATTCCACATGAAAAATACCCTTGCTGAACTAGAGCTTAGAGTTAAATAAAGTATATACTTTAAAAAAATCTTCAAAGGCAATATAAAACAGAATGAAAAAGGATCATGGCTAGGATTTTATTCAAAGTTAGCATATTCTCACATTATTTTCTTAGAGTTCCAGTTTTTGTTACTCTCTTGTCTTTTTTCCCCTATTTCCCCTCAGTGGTCTTCAGTGCACAGCGAAAAGCAGTCTGAAGGATTCTTCATGGAGTTTTCAGTGCTCTTTTTGCAATTTTTCCTTCAGTTCAGCATTGAGGTTTTGTGTCTGAGTTATGAGATGGCTGTTATAAAATTGTGGATCATTTTCTGCATGCACAATTTCATGCTTCATAGTGACTCAATACTACACTAATTAAAGGACTTAAATGCTTTTCTTTCTTACCTGCATAGGTAATGCATGAAATGACCCTGAAGCTCTAGTAGGGAGCATGTGTTTCAAAAGCCTGCCATGATGTTGGAATTTTGTAGGGGGTCTTTAGCATTTCTTCTTCTTGTCTGCCTTTGCCATTTGTCTTGTAGTTTTGAGCAGCACCAGGTGACCTGCCGGGGAGATGACAGGTTCGTGTGCAAGGCTGACAGCTGTGGGAAGAGGCTGAAGAGTAGGGATGCCCTGAAGAGACACCAGGAAAATGTCCACTCGGGTGAGGAGTCATTGGAAGGTTGTTTTTTAAAGGGGTTTCCTCTCCCCAGGCCACAGCAATCTGTTTCAGATTCTCACTCTTGAAGACAAAAGATGACTTTTCCATTATGTTTCACACAGATGTAGATTATTTTCGTTCACCACACTATTTCTCTTTCAAGTAGATTTCAAGCAACATTTGTTAGTTTTCCTATCTCTGAATTGATCATAATTATAAACCTAAACTTGAATCTGCTTCTGCTTGGTAGTCAGGTGCATTAAAAAAATAATTTTGATAATAGCATATGAAATTTTTCTTTCATAAGTTGTTGAGATTTACAGTTATAGATATATTTTAAAACTAAGTGATGCTTTACCATCTTAATGTTTTTAACAGAAAAATTCAATTTTTTAAATGCTTACATTTCTTCTATACTGGAGAAAATTTCTAACTACATTTTTCAATGGGAATTGAATACATTTTGATTAGTGAAGCAAATGCTATTCAAATTCCTTCTAATGGCTAGCTAAACAATAAAACAAATACAAAATTTATTGTCACTTAGATTTTTATCTGCTTAGCACTTTGTAGCAATCAGTAAATGTGTTTTGGTTTATAGATTGAATCTTTTGCACTGAGTTGAGCCACTGACTGTATTATTTCCTTAATGTCTTTTCCCCAAAAGATGTTGAGGTTCGTTGAACTCCATATATCCTTGTGTATATATTCTATTCTCATGTATTTGCCTTTGCCCTTGGCTTCTGGGAAGTGGGTAGAAATAGGTCTCTGGATAGGGTTGGGTGGGTGAGTTCTTTTTCTTCTTATTCCCACACTATTGTGAAAAGGGTATTCACCCTAACATCTATTCTCTATGTTTATTCATTGTTCCAAAAGTATCAATTTAAAGTCATAGAGGCTGCCTGTATGAGCCTGGCTGCTGGCTCCAAATTCACAGTGTTGGTTTGGGCAGCACAATGAGTGTGAGAGCTTTACAGTGATGTTTTCTGTTTTTCTTTTTGAAGAATATGTAGATGATAGGTGGAAAATGACATTGTCCTGTAATTCTAAAAGACATGCATAATTTTTATTTATTTATTTTTTCGGTACCGGGGATCAAACTCGGGACCTTGCGCTTGCAAGGCAGGTGGCAGAACCACTGAACTAAATCCCTGGCCCTTGCATAACTTTTTGATAGACTTGCCTTCATAGGTATTTATTTATTTATTTATTTATTTATTTATTTTAATGCTGTTCTGGTTAAAATGCTGCTCTTATTTTTCTCTATTTATGTCTGTAATGCATTGTAACAAAACTTTCATGTCAGTTTTAAAGTTTGTTTGTTTTTTTGGTACCGGGCATCGAACTCGGGTCCTTGCACTTGTGCAGCAGGGGGCGAAACAACTGAGCGAAATCCCCTCCCCGTCAGTTTTAAAGTTAACTTTGCTGAACTAAGTAGAAAACCAGATGCATAGTGAAACTGGAAATTTTTGCATTCTTGTTACTGGGCATGTGCTTGTCATGCTGTGCTATGAGCATAAATTTTTGAGGCTTCTTGTAATTGGCATTGGATAGTCTAATATTACAGATTCTGGAAATTCATGGTAATTTGTAGGAAATAATTTATAAAAGGAAATTTTGGGGTTTTTTATGTTGTAAATTATATAAAATGTGAACTCTTGCTGTATTTTAGCCAAAAGTCACTATGCATACCTTTTTCTGGATTTGGTACATGATTTCCATTTCTCGTTCATGATCTCTCTGCCTCTTTTTGCTATGAACTGCACACACACTTGAGGAAAGAGTATTTCCTATTGACAGTAGCAAGCAAAGCAATACTGGCATATATTGTTATAGAATTCTTTATTATAAAAGGACAAAGGTATGCAAGGAAATAGGTCTTGCAGCTTCTACTTATGATGACAAATTTCCTTTTGAAGTGATATGAATTGAAAATGCAGAGTAAAAGAAAGTTGAGTATTTAAAAGAAAGTCATAATTTTCCATAAAAACTGTAACATAGTAGGTAAGGTTCTTAGACTAGCTCCAGGAAGCATACTTAACCAACATTGTATTGTAACCCAAGTGCTTAACTGTGTGTTTAGTATTGTTGTATAAATTCCTTTCCCCATCATCACCTGCTATAATATGGTCCTGATTTTTTTTTTTTATTGTGGTGCTGAGGATTCATCCCAGGGCCTTGCACACACTAGGCAAGTATTGTCAACTGAGGTACATCCCCAGCCCTCCTGAATATTTTTGGAAGTTGCATGTGAAAGTCACATCAGATTTACTTGCATATGGGAAAACCAATAATAGTATACATTCTAGTTACGGCTTTGTGTTGGTGCTGCTGTTCTTGAACCTGGGAAAGCTAGTAGCCCGGTTACACAGGAGGAAACAGAAAATGAAAGGGCTGAGATCTTGAACCCACTTGTCATCTTTCTCATTTGCCTAGTTTCTGTAAATGCAAACAGTGTATGGGAGATAACACGTATCTATATTCTCAGATGAGTAGTCATGAGATTTTTCTGCATTTTCTTCAAAGAAAATTTTCCAGCTCTAGGATGAAGAGGAAGAGATAGGAAGAAATGTGAAGAAGAGAGAAGAGATTGGAGAGCATGTGTGGGGGTTGGTGTATAAGCTGTGACACTGGCTTGGAAGAGCAGTGGCAGAAGGACAAGAGCAAAGGAAGAGTAGTGCTTAGAGAAACCACTTCTTTCTCTGCTCTCTTTCTCCTCTGACCTTCCTCTTGGGAAAGATATGGGCAAGTCCCAAGGAGCAGTTGTCATGAGGTCTGGAATAGGGCAATTAAACATTGTGGGCCAAAGATGGTCAATCTCAACTAATGGGTATTGGAAAAGAGGGAGTATTCTTTCTCAGTGGCCCTTCACGTTTAGTAGATGCTTGTTGGGAATTGAACAGATATATTCAGTCAGATACTCATTTGCTCAAGAACTGTCTCATTCAATAGCCCATTTGTCAATCCCCAAGAAAATTTTCTTAACTGAAATGTTAGCATGAGGAAGACAGTGTATTACATAGATATTCTGTTACCCAGAATATCTTGGTATCTTGAAAAGTCATATTTTGTAGTTTTTAAAAATGTGTTTTTCTTTGATAAACACGATCTTATGGTAAAATCATTTTGGAATTATTTTTACTTGGTTTGAATTTGCTTCAAAATAATAAAGAGAATTGGGGAGAGGATGGAATTGTGGTTAGGCATGGAATGGGCATGGACTAGTAGTGGTCATTGTTGGAGTCTTGTGCTGAATACATGTTGGTTCATTGTTTCCGTTTTTGGTTTTTGTTTTGGTATTTTTAAGTCAGGGTCTCCGGATGAAGTCCAGGCTAGCCTTGAAATCGATATGTAGTTCATGGTGGCCTTGAACTCATGATCTTTGTGGCTCAGCTTCCTAAATGCTGGGATTACAGGTGTGTGCTACTATGCCCAGCAATATGTTTAATTTTTGTACTTGAAATCAATCAGTTAAAAGTGGAAAACATGATTTTATGGTTATTAATGACAGTACAGATGATACTGTTATTATATCACATCTTTAAAATGTTTTATTGAATGTCTATACTTAAAATGTTTCATTTAAATAACCATCATGAAGTTTGAACTACTCTAAATTTAGTCACTATATAAGAAGAAAAAATTGGATTTTGTTTTGATTAACATGTACTGTGAATATGTTTTATTTTGTTTGATTTTACATTATCCTATTTCTTAACATTAATCTAGTAAAGCATGTGTTCACAAATTTTGTAAATCAAGTGTTGGAAATAATAATCTATAAATCCCACCTTAAAAACTTAGTTGATAGAATAAAATATTCTATTTATGTATAAATGGAATAGAAAAATCAATTTATGAATTGTTTTTTCTTTCTTAAATATATTTGGTTAATTTTTATTTTTGCAGAGAAATTTTTTCTCTTTTAATATTACGTTAGTATACAAAAAAGTGAAAGGCTTATTTTATGTACAAAATGCTATATCAAGCTGAAGATTTCTCAGATTTAAAAAGAAAGGGTCTTAAAATACAACTTGCTCTTTATTTGAGTTTATGGATATGTCTACATGCATCTAAACATATATGAGATTCTGAAGTACGAAAATGAAGTTACGTGTGTAAAAACACTATATCAGTTGTACCTCTCAGTAGTCTCATTTAATTTATAATGCTGTTTTACTTCTCTTTTAGGAGACACTAAGAAAAAGCTCATATGTTCAGTGTGCAATAAAAAGTGCTCCTCAGCATCAAGCCTACAGGAACATAGAAAGGTTAGTAAGGTAAAGGTTAACTTTCATCACAGTAACAGATCTTCCAGGCATTTATAGTGTCTGCTGTAAAAACTTTCAGTTGATTTTTTTTATATTATTAAGACAGAGCTTTGCTATTGGTAACATGTTCTAGAATGTAAAACTAATATGCAGAAAGGTAAAAGGATATTTTAAGTTGTCTTTATTCCAAATTAATTGAAATATTTCTTTAATGCTAGGTGTCATGTTTAGCTAAATCCTTCACTTAACCCTGATCTGGTTTCACACTGTATCAATTGCTATTTGCTCAGGAAAAGCAATGAATAAGTAAATTAATGAGAAAATCATACCTTTGGCATTTACAATGTTCTGAGAAGGAGCCTTTGGCTATTAAAAGGAAGAATATTATGGTTTAGTCTGACACAACTAAAACAAGGTGCCTTATGATATAACAAAATAGTAATATGTATTCCTAGTATAATGTTTTGCTACACTTGATTTTACTTTATTCTTTTTTTTTTTTTCAGTACTGGGGATTGAACTCAGGACCTTGTGCTTGCAAGACAGGCGCAGTGCCACTGAGCTAAATCCCCAGCCCTCTTTATTCTGTTTTTTAACATTAACATGATAAAGCATACACTCATAGGTTTGCATGTTCAAGTGGTATTAGCAGAAACAAATGATTATTAGGAGAAAATAAATTTAAAAGTCACCATGTTATTATTTTGCTGTAGAAATTAATCTGAAAAACAAATGACAATTATTAACTAACAACATTAGCAACCAGTTACTAAGATAAAATTATAATTTAGATTTTGTTCACATCATGACAAGGTTCAAAATATTCATGTTGTGTTTTATTATGTAACAAAGATGTAAATGATCACTTCCTAATTTCCTGTGCGTTTAAAATATTTAAGAACATGAAATATTTTCTTTTAGTGAATTAATACACAAGGAAAGAGAAAGTGGTACTAACAAAAGTAAAATTACTTTTTTGTGGTTTCTAAAATGAATTTGTGCTTGCTATACATATCTAGATCTATTCTGTAGTAATTAAATGGGACTTAAAATTCATATGGCTTTTAACCTAGTAGCTCCAACTGTGTTCTGGAGATAGTTAAATTATTTTAACATGTCTGTGGATACATTCTGTATGGTGAGTGATTTTGATCCATTTATGGAAGAATAATGGAATAAGCATTGAGATTCAGGTTGGGGGGTTCTTCTGTCACTATCTTTCATTTAACATTGGGCCTCAATTTTCTTATTTTTAAAATGGAACATTGAACTAATTATCATTTTCTAGATGTTCCTTCTTGTAGGTCTCCTTTTCTTTCTCCCTATCACCTTTACAGCTTGGGAAGCAGAAACCTGAGACAAAAATATTGAATCTACTGGAATAGATATTTTCTAAACATTGTCTTTTATCATCCTGTAATTTAGTTACTTGATCTATTTAAATCTTAGAGGTTGAAATTTAAGGTAGTTTACCAAGTAGACTAGCAAAATTGGCTGTGGTGTATATTTGTGAATAATGTCCTGTTTTGATTTTTTCATAATATAAGAACCTTTTCCTCTGAAGGAAATAACTTCATAGAAAGAAATTGTACATGATGGTGATAGAATACAGGCATTATCTCTCATGCTTTTGAGTTATTACGAGTTACAGAATGTAATAAATTATTAGCATGATAAAGCTGTTTCCTCCATTCATTAAAGCATAATTGCTCAATTCTAACTTTCCTGAATATGTACACAGCTTTTAATTATTCCAGTTTTGACATTTTAGTTGGATGAGTCTTAATGTCTAATAGAGTTTAGTTGCAGTATTTCACCTTGCCAGTAGATGGTGGTTTGTGACAATGCTAAATTACAGTAGAGTACAGCATTTTATATTAGTGGATGCTGTCTTGTATTATAATAAGATATATTATGATCCTTCTTGAAAATATTTAATTTAGGATTACAAAATATTATCCTCCAGATCAATATGACATATTAAATTTTACACCATATGTTTTTGGCATTTGGTGTAAGTACTGTAACTTATCATTTTCACTTTAAATCTGTTCTATTAAGACACCTTAAGAGTTTTGAAAATAGCTTTGTCATGCTTTTGTGTATAGTAAATGATCTCTTTAATAATTTGGAGACTATCAATTTAATTCACCCTCAAAAAACTTTAATGTTTCAGAAGCTACGAGAGTTAAGTGAACAAATCAGTATTCCTTAGTACTGTATGTATTTTAGGTTACCTTTTATATATCATTTAATGATTTTGAACATTTGATATACCAATAAAAATTCAGTATTAAAGATAAAAATGCATAAAAGTTTTCATTTTTGTATGGCTCAGAGGCTTGTCATCTGTTTGTCATAAAAGTGTATGCTATGCATTACAGAAGCAGGGTTTAAGAATATAAATCTACTCTTATTACCCTCAAATAAACATTATTTGTCACTTCACTGCTTCTCAGACATCAGTGTTCAGCGGAAGCCACTGTGCAGGCCTTGCTGGGCGACCAGGCCAACGCCTTTAACACCTGCGGGCTGCAAGCTTTGTCCTGTGTTCGTTCTAGGGTGGAGTGCAGATTCCATGCTGCTTTCTCAGCAGCTAGGTTCTCTGGACTTGATCCTATCCCCTGACAAGATTAGATACTGCTGTATCACAGCAAGGATAGCAGTTAGACTTGAGAGGAATGATATCTCTTGGGTGCTTCCCGATTCTCTACTTTTCATAATTGAGTTTTCTGGCATATCCAGTCATATTTGACAGAAGCAGAGAAATGTCAGTATCCTTAGACTTGCCATGTGCATGGGAAGAGATTAGGACTCCACCAAGGCCTTGGATCTGTTAGCCTCCTCCCAAAACCACTTCACCCTCCTTGATTTGAGTCCTGTCATGGCCCCGTAGATCAAGGAAACCATTACAGGACCACTAATTACTCCTGTGTTGTGCCCAGTCAGAGTTGTGACCTGTACTCCATGTGTCTCTAGTTATTCTGCAGGATGGTCACTGTCTTCGCTTCTTGCTTGTCTGGGATCATGCTTGGGGAGGCAGCTGTACCTTCAATGAGGCTGACACAAAACAGGACTTCACCAAAACCACTTGGGAATCTTCAGCAAAATAGTGTGTTGCTTTTAGAACTGAGCACATTATTTCTGATAATAAGCTAGGCTTCTACTTTTCATAATACCTAATTTCTCCAACTATAAGTCTGGAAGAGAAAGATCTAATGCATCATCTAATTGTAACATTTATAAAAGCTAATTGTTTGTTAAAGCTATCCCCCTTACGTTTTATAAAAATACATTTTGTTTGTCTATGTGTAAAGTATGCAGCATGAGTTATAAGATACCACTGTGTAGCAAAATAGTCATTAGAGTGAAACAGTTTAACGTGTTCAACTCATATTTACCCCTCCTCCCAGCCCTCAGGCAAAAGAAGCTGTAATCCACTCATTTAGCAAAAAGTCCTGAATACTGTTCATTATTGTTGATTTTATTCTTTATCTTTTACTGAGACCTGTTTATCCTACATATCTGCTACTTTGTACTTTGACCCATTTCCTTTTTTTTTTTTATTGTGGTCCTCTGACCATATTTGACTTCTATGTGATCAGTAAGATAAAATAAGTACATGATTCTGCATGTGAAGTAAATGTTTTCAGAAGCATATCTCTTCTAGTCTGCATTTAATATTTTACTCTATATTAATGCATTTAAGTTTAAAATACCATTATCTTCTATGAAAGTATGTTATTATCAAAGTAATATCATTTCCTGCAGGAAGCATATTTCTAAGTCTAAGTTTGTGCATAACAAAAGTTAATATATATGAGGTTTAATTTTTAATGTACACATTTTAATATACACTAAACAGATCAGCTATACTGCATATTTAAGTGGTGTGACTGTTAATTTTTTAATGTTTTATTAAATAATGTATGTTTGCTGCATTTTCAATTGATATGAGATAATATGAACAAATTAGGGCTGAATTATAATAGTTTTGAAACTGCAGAAGCAACTATAGATTTAAATTTTGGCATGAGCTCTGAGTAATTTACTTTGTTCCAACTGTTTATTTAACTGTCAATATAATCCTTTCCAGATTCATGAGATATTTGACTGTCAAGAATGTATGAAGAAATTTATTTCAGCTAATCAGCTGAAACGTCATATGATCACCCACTCAGGTAAACTCTATACTTGTTCATTGTATATTGAAATCACTACAGAAGGATGACTGACATTTTCAGGAGTTCTAAAAGGGTAATGAGATTCCCTGGCTGTCTAAGTTCTTGCTTAGCCATTAACTATTTGTGAGATTTTGAACAAGTTACTTAATTCTCTAGACCTTAGTTTGTTAGGTGATTTAGTTAATGGTGCTCGTCAGAGTCACAGTTTCAGAGCCTCAGTTTCTTTATTCTTCATGTGTTAAATGGGATACTGTTATCTGACTTTCAAAAACAGTAACTATGAAGGTTAAGTGAAATTGTTTATGTGTTGTGCTAGCACAGTTTTTAACATTTACTAGAGATTAACAATTACAGCTCTTACATTTCTAGATACTTTTACATCTTAATTGTGGTGCTAATAAAATGTTATTGAGAAATTTATAAATATGTTTTGAGAAAATATTTTAAAGCCATTGTTTTCATCTTAAGCAAGCTTGAGTAATAAGTTCATTTTACTTACGCAGACTTAAAAAAGCAACTCTGGAAATAATTTTTGCTTTATGAAGTCTCCTAGAACATAAGATGTCTGTAATTTGAAGCCATTGAAGTCAGAATGTTTTTGAATGTCCACATTGTTTGGAGATAGATATAGATGCTTTAGTAATTTAAAATCAGAGATTTCAAATATGTTAGGTTGATTCACACAGTATTTTTAAAATTTAGTTGTCAACATTGTATGAATATCACATACATATGGCTTTGACATACTTGCCTAAGTGTTTAGTTCCTGCTGAGAATTGGAAACTCTGCCTATATGGGCCCTGTGTGGCCCCGCAGGAGGCAGCTTTGCTTTTAGGTCCCTCATTGCCAGGCCTCTCTTAGTATTCCTGGCTGTGACCTTGATTTAAACTCACGCATATCAGCATCTTTTTCATCTGGAAATAGGATTTCTTCTTTGAATTTAAACCTCTATTAAAGCTACCTTTAGTTTTTAAAATAGGTCTGTAGAAGAACAAGTTCACATTTCATTTGTGAATAGACTTACATATCCAATGTAAGTGGACTGCTGGATACTTTTCTTCTTCCTGTTTTGTTTTAGTTTGACATTGCTTTGTAGTTTAGTTATGTATAACAAGTAACTTAAGGTAAGGACGTGTCCTTTTTTTACCTTTTACCTTTATGTAGATATGAGATTGTCTCCATTCATTTTTCACAGAAAAACGACCCTATAATTGTGAGATTTGTAATAAATCTTTCAAGAGGCTTGATCAAGTGGGGGCCCACAAAGTAATCCACAGTGAAGATAAGCCTTACAAATGCAAACTTTGTGGCAAAGGATTTGCTCACAGAAATGTTTACAAGAATCACAAGAAGGTAAAAGCTTATTAATCTTTTTTCACCATTTCACTGACATGATTTTCATGTTCATCTTTCAGTGAAATTTTTGTATATCTGGGGCATGGTATATGTATATATATAAAAAAAATATATAAATATATATATAAATATATATATAATAGAGTAACTAGAGAAGATCTTGCTGTGCTTCAGAACCGCTCACTCAAACCATAACTCTTTGCAGCCTCATTTCTGTCTTCCATGCTCTATTGATACTCTTTTCAAAGTGCCACTGAGTTATTAAATCAATTAAAAAGCTCTCAGTTATTAAGTCAGTGAGGGGTATGAGGTTTTAATAATTGTTAAATCTTTACTCCTTTCTTTCTTTCCATAAAGTTTGATGCTTATGTTAATGTTACCTGTTTGAAATTCTCTTCATCTTTGGTGTCCTTGTAGTGTACTTTGCTCGGTCTCCTGACAGTCTCTCTGAACACTTCTTTTGTCTCTGTATTAGTCAGCTTTCCATCACTGTAACAAAATACCTGAGATAAACAAGTTAGGAACAGGAAATGTTCATTTTGGCTCATGGTTTCAGATATTTCAGTACATGGTTGGTTGGCTTCGTTGCTTTTGGACCAATTGTAAGGCAAAAAATCATGATGGGGAGCACATGGTAGAGCAAAGTTGTTCTCACAATGACCAGGAAGTAAAAAGATGGAAGTAGAAGCTGGGATCCCAATATCTTCATGAAGGGCACACCCCAGTGTCCTAACTTTCTTTCACTAGGCCCCACCTTCTTAAGGTGGTAACCAAATTTTTAGAGGACATTTAAGATCTCAGTCATTATAGTCTGCCTTTACCCCAAGAGGGTAATTTAGATATTCTAGGTCCTCTCTCCCTGAGAAATGTTGGCTGTATCCATGACTTCTGTTATCAGTGCTAATTACAAATGATTCCATTAATACCAAGCTGCAGACCCATATTTATAACCACTTACTTACCTGATACAAAATTGGGCATCTTTTGACAATGCATTTAACAAGCTCTAGAAGGACTTTTTCATCTTCTTTGCCCTAATAACTTCTCTTTTGGAAAGTCTTTTGCTAATGACAAAGTACATAATCAAGTTGCTTTATTCAGTCTTGACTCCTCTATAAAATTAGAAACCAAGCCATAAAGACTCTACTGTCTCCATATCATCGCCTTTGAATCATCCCTTCCATTTTGTTTTGTTTTCATTTATTTTATTTTTGCAGTATTGAGAACTGAACCCAGGACCTGTTCTCGCTGAACCTCCAGCCCATTCCTCCTTTACTATTGCAATGTCTTGATAAATTATTTTTCATCTGGATTACCTTCATATTCATCTCATTGGGGTTCCTGGTATTTAATCTCTTCTCACTACAGTCCATCCTACCAGCCACATCATCCCAAAGCATAACTGTGTTATATTTCTCTTGTTTTAATAAAATAAGTAGATTTCTGATGCTTTCTAATATATATATATATATATATATATATATATATATATACTCTTTCTGCTGTCATCACAGTTCACCAAACCATAACCTTAACTTACTCTCCAACTTACCTTTCTGTTCTCTGCATGCATCATTCCCAAAACAACTCAGTATTTGCCTTTAGTCTACATAACCTCTCTAACTTCCTTTCCCTTTAAGTTATAATTCCTTGGATTGTTCTGTTTATTTTTGTTTACATTTCTTAAACTATTTTAGCTCATTTTCTTGTTCCAGAACATACTAGCTTTATCAAATTTATTTTTGTAGTAATAAATAATATTTGAAATGAATTCAGGAAACATGCCCAAAGATATTCAACATTTTAGAAATGCATGTAAAAATATCTGTGACATGACAAATATTTGCCTAATTTTGGTTGATACACTTTAGCATGCTATTAAATATCATTTTTATAACCTCTTTTGTTTTGTTTGTTTTTCCTTTTTGAGACAGGATTTTGTTAGGTAGATCAGGCTGGCCATAAACTCACTATGTAGCCCAGGCTACCCTTGAACTCACGGCAATCCTCTTGCCTCAGCCTCTTATAACCTCTTTTAAGACAACATAGTACTTACTTTTTCTTTTACTATTTCATGAGGATTACAGTTATTTTGGTATTTATAGGGACTTCCACTTTGTCCCTTTTGAAATCATTTAAAAAATTTTGATAGTAATTTCAGCTTTAGTTCAAGAAGAAAAACAAAAAGTAGATTTAGCAAAGAATACACAGGATTAACTGATAGTGTCTCTGCCTGATTTCTTACTTACAGCCCTTATGTTTGGCTCAACTATTCTGTGTTCTGGGCAGGGCTGCATTTGTTACTGCTGCTTTGGAATTACATGACTAAAGAATTATCTGGTGAGTTTCCTGTTCAGTCTCTGGAACCCTCTTGTTCCTTTCTTTGATGAAACTGATCTACCCACATTTATGAGTTTTCATAGTTTGGCTTGTGTTATATGTCATATGGGAATTTGGCATAGGCTCTATGCACCATCTCTCATCCTTTCAGCTATAAATCATGTGAAAGTAATAATGATGTCTTGGGAAGGATAGAAACCATGATGGCTGTAATTTCCAAAGTGGAAAGCACATTCAATCCTTCTCCTCTGGACAAATATGTTCCTTACTGTGTTATGATCATAGCATAGATTTGGTATGGTTATGTGAAAGTATCTGAAACATTCTTTTAAGAATCATATAAAAAAGCAAATCAACTTTTTCTTCCATCATTATTCATTAATGGCTACTTAGTCAAAGAAATTAGGGGGGAAAAAAAACCCCACAAAGAGTCAGTCTGATTGTCAGGTAGCATGGCAAAGGATTGTTATTTTAAATACTTAAATCTTCTACTGATTTTTTTTTAGTATATGGCCTATGCATTTTTATTGTAGTTGTCTTATTTTAGGCCAGTTCTTGTCATTTAATATTTAGATTTGCTGAAAGAAAGGAATATTGTCATTCATCTTGATTATAACAATAATGAGATTTTGAAGAGATGGTTTCTGTTTTGAAAACATACTCAGTTCATCACCTAGCGAGTTACATAAGCTCAATAAGCCAAAATTAGTTTTAATGCTCCTTCATCTTTTGTAACATTTGATCTTATTCTGAGTTATAGTTTAACATTTAGCTAAAATCAAGATCATTTACCTGGATCCAGCTGTATTTTTATTATTTAAATCACATTTGGACAGACATTCCGAAACTGCAGGAGACAGAAACTGGTCAATTATTAATCATCTTCCATGTTGTTCCCTATCAAATCCAATGCAAAGCTTGAAGAAGATATATAGTGTTTTCTTTCTTCTGCCCTATGATGGATATTCAGTTAGATCAAACTGTCTTGGCTCATGGAGCTGGCAGTACTTGCTTGATGATAGAAGTGAAGATTGAGAGGTTTTCCCTTAGAAAAGTCTTAAACAAGCTTCTTGGGGACAGGTGTCTGTCTCCACAAATAAAGGACTTTCCTTCGCAGTTTCTATGTAGCCTTCCAGGGATGGAACGTTAGAAGCCTATGAGGAAATCTAGTCATAGTTTTTTTAAAAAAATAATTCCATTGGGCATCTTGTAGTAATGTCTCATCCAGTCATATTCAAACTCTAGGCATGACTGCTTTATGGTCTTGAATTTAGTGGATCATGAATACCCATTAAAAAATAGAAGAGAAAATACAATGGTAAGGATTGTTTAATAAAATAATACATGTGTATTATGTGTGTGTTGGATTTTTTATAAGAAGAATTTTGGGGGAGTTTTATCGAACAATTTGAAAGACAATGTAGTTCAGAGTTTGTGTCAGTAAAATTGTTTGATCTTAAAGAATAGGAAAGGTTACTCCCTAAAATGTCATGAATTTGGCTCTAAAACTAGGACATATAGTATAAGGTTAACATGATAATAAACTATTTAAAAAGATCTTAAGAAGGTTCCAACTTGGTGACTGAGAAACAGTTACTCAGTATTTACATAGCCAGACTTTCCTTTTCTTTTGCATCAGGTAACTCTTCTTAGGTGAAATACTCTTTCATTTAAAATATTATGTTGTACAAGATTACTTGTCTTTGTGTGCTAGAACCATAGTCACAATGGTGAGGTGCTTTGGAGATAGGTACTACATTTAATTCATAGTACCTGTTGACCACATTTTACCAATGGTGGGTAAAATTTTTCTTCTTTTTATAAATTCATTTGTCATTTAACACTTTCTGAAAAATTCTTGTTTATACTTTGTCCATTTATCTATTGGGCTACTTCTCTGTTTTCTCATTGATTTCTAAGAGTTCTGTACATATTATGAACATTAATCCCTTGCTATTTTTGTTTCTTACCCCCCCATTTACCAACTTGGATCTTCTGAGTAAAAAAGTTTTACCTTTTTATTTTATCATACATGCATATGAAGTTTCATGCCTTTGGACTCTTTTATTCTGTAATTATGCAAACATTTATTCAGGTTTTTAAAAGTTATGATAAGTTCCTTTTTTTGTTAGTATTTAATCCATCCAGAATTTATGTTTAGGTGTAAAATGTGATAAAATTCCTTAAGTGTAATCTGTTTTTGGATTCCATTCTGTTCCATTTAATCTGTTTTATTGCAATATTTTACTGTTCTAACAAACACAACTGAGTGTATATTAATTTCTGTTGGGCAAGGCCTCCTTTTCTTTTTCAAAAAATTTTATATGTTGTTTAGAGAAGATTAATTTTAACAAGCAGACTTCTGACCACTGCTTCCTTTTTATCTTCCCAGAGATTGATATATGTTAAAAACAACCCCACTTCACACACAAAATAATTCATCATATAAACACTTGCTTTTGTGGGTGATTTGGTTTGGAAACATTTTGTCCTTTTTTTCTTTTTGATAGAAAAACCAGAAAACAAAAACATGACTCACTTTCTATTATATTAATGCCAAACTAAATTAATACTATGCTACCAGCATATTTCTTATTTTTTTATATATGAGAACATGTTATTGAGTCGTGGAGATCTTTCTGTATCATTTTTACTTTCACTCTACCTAAGGCTTGGGGTTTCTGTTAGAAGAAGATTAAGTGAAAGAGGATTGGGGAAAAACTGGAATAGATGAGCAAGAGCCAGAAGACATTGTGGTGGCTTGTCACCAAGAGGGCTAAACATGTAAATAGGCTGTGTGCTTTACAGAAGACAGCAGATGGGAAATGAGCCTGAGGGAGGGCACCACATCCGTGTGCACACTCGACACACAAGGACATTGATTTCAGAGGACATCAACAGTCTTAGGGGAAGGGGATATAATTTTAGAAGCTAAGTTAAATTAAATGGAAAATTAATATATCTTTGAAAAAGAGATACTGTCTTTTCTTACATAGCAGTAAAAACGAAGAGTGTATCATAGGTGTATCATCCAAAAAATGCTACAAACTTGAGCCAATGAAGGAGAGAAATGTACAAATGAGAACTGTGTTTTATAACTAAAATATGCTAAAGTACAATATTTTCAGTATGAAATAGGTTTTCAGACTATTATCTTGATGTTTTATGTTTAAAATTAGAAATTAACTCTAAGCTTTAATCTTTTGACTTTAAATTTACACCTGTATTAACTATGAAAAATACATTAGCTACTTTCTATGATGGTTTCTTTGAAAATATGCCCTGTGGCTGTGCTGGCACTTCATGTGTCCAGGTGGGGCTTACACACATTCACACACACACACAGCTCAGTATTCATCTGTAGCTGAGCTGCCTGTTTATTTTTGCCTGATCCAATTTTCACCAAATAGTATATCATCTTTGTATCTGTTAGAAATTGAAGGGTTTGTATTATATAGAAAACAGTGTGCTTGATGGTAAGTTTTATGACAGAACTAAAATTCTTCCAGTGTTATCTATTTGTACTATAGGAATCTGCACTTTTGCCTCTATGGATGCCATGTAAATCTCAATGAAAAACTACCAGTTTATTCTCTGAGTAGGAATTCAAATTGCTGCCATCCAAAGCTTCTTCTAAATATTTATTGCTGTTCCTTCTCTTAGAAAACATCTTTTGCCCCATCACGGTATACTTATGACTGTGGGGAATCAGTACCTGGTTTCATGGGATTCTGGCTTTTTACCAAATGGAATTGTGACTTTCAAGCCATGGAAAGATTGAACTTTGGCTACTTAATGCTGCTGTTAATAACATAATATAAATTTTATGCTCTTGACTTCTTTGTATGAATGAGCTATACTTTACTGTCTACAATTTAAACCAAATTCTTTAATATCTTTCTAGTTTCAACCAGTGTTTTTGAGGAGGCATTTTCAAGAAGGTGGTTATAAATTTGACAGTAAAAATTTAATCCACAGACCTTGTAAACAGCGAGATAGTGTGTATTTTATGTAGTTTTAGGTTTATTATGTAAGCGTTGGACTAGGACCTTTGAAAAATGTTGGTGCTCTTGAGGCTTCTGGGAAGGAATTACTGTATTTCTCCTTGTATGCAGAATAGTTGTATTATGTAGGTAGAATTATGAACTTGCTATTGTCTTTATTTGATGATTAAGTATAGTTTAAGAAGACATGTTTGGGTGTAAGTTGATGAAGAATGTATTATGTCCATTAATCCTGATGTGTCAATTTCATTGGATTAAGAAATACGTAGTAGAGGGCCGCGGATTTAGCTTAGTGGTTCCGGCGCCTGTCTCCTAAGCGGAAGGACCCGAGTTCGATCCACGGTACCAAACAAACAAAACAAAACAAAGAAATACCTAGTAGATTAATAAAACACAATCATGTGTGTCTGGGTGGGTTATTGGAGATGTGATCTTGGGTGCTATATATACATGGTCTTTGGCCCATTGCTGTCTGGCACTGTTCCCCTACTCTGCTCTACAGTTACCATGCTATAAGCAGCTTTACTCCACCATGGCCTTCTACCATGATGTCTTTGTCTTGGACCCAGCTGATTATGGGATGAAACTGAACAAATTAAACCTCTCTTCCTGTAAATTGTGGATATTGGCTAATTTTACCCGTGATTTGCTTCTCCTCCCTTCTTTCATTTCTCTGACGGCATCTTTCCATTTCTCAATCTTTAACATGTATCTCCAACCACACAGCCCTTCATAGTGTTTCCTATCTCTGTCACCTAAATACTAACCTTTGTTTCCTCATATATTCTTTCAGAGTCACATCCTTGTCTAGAATTTCCTAGACCTGTTTAAAATTATCGTCCCACTCTCTGAAGCACTGTTTTCCTTCTTTATTTTTCTTAATATCATATATTCCTTCCTAATAGAGCACATATTTTATCCTTTTTGTTGTTTGTTCCCCACTAGTACAAAAACTAATAGCAGGGAATTTGGGACTGCATATTTTTTGTTGACTGCTATGTTTCCAACATCTGAGACAAGACTAACAATGGCACAGCAGAAATCTGGGATGAAATGATAAAATGAATGAGATGGAGTGATGACTGAAAAGGAGTCCTTTTGTGATTTTCTTTTAGAGTTTCATCTTTTCTTGTTAATGAGCCATAACTTTTTATAAAAAATACTGTTTTTATTTTATGTTGTAAATATTTTCTTTGGTTTTTGCCAAAGGTTTTGCTTTGCAGCTTTAAATGAACTTATTTCTCTCATCTGAATATCCACTTTTCTGCCATGCCAAAATTCTATACAATTTTATTCATCACTTTAAAAAATACCTGACGTGATGGATATTTCTCCTATTTTAAGGAGTAATAAATTCAACTTTATTTTTCTAAAATTTCTAGACCATTTAGTAAATCTTCCACTCTTTTCCCAACTTGAAATGCCATGGTTTTCTATACTGAATTTTTGTATATTTTATGTAATGAAGAAACCTACTCTTTTTATCTTTTATTCATTTATAAGGATATATATTTTCATGCTATTATTTTAATATCTGTGGCTAAATCACACATTGAAATATTTTTAACTTAGCCTGACTTTGAAAAAGGGATTTTCCATATTTTGTGTATTTTCACAACTGATAGCAAACATTATAACCCCCTTTTCATTAACATTGAGTTAATAGGTGATATCTTGAATATTGTAATTCTATTAAACTATGATAATGTGTAAGTCAGTACATTTTGAATAAAGTGCCTGCCCTTTAAATTATTTCCTGAATTTTTATACTGCCTCCTATCACTTAAGTGATTGTTTTATTGTAATATAAAAGCATAGTTTAATTTTCTTGCATTTATGAGCTTTATTAACTTGCCATCCATGGTAGAATAAGGTTTTATTCACTAATTTGTGCCAAATGTATTTATTCTGACTATAATAGAAAACAGGTGAAGTGACCATGCTTTTTCTGTCCTGGTGTTGGTTTTGTTTCGGATATTAGATCGAGCTAGTGGCTTGCCCTTGTTTCTTGTTTACCAACATATTTCTGTCTGTCATGTACCATACAGCTTACTGGTGCCTGCTCCATCTGAACTGTGTGACTTTTGAAAAGTTGGTGAAACTGTTGAAATCATAGTTTTCTCATCTATGTAGTGGTGACAACAGTAGTGTTTTATTCATCAGGTTACTGTTGTAGTTAAATTTAATAATTACTGTGAAGTGTTTAGTTTGGCATTTGAAACAAATTAAATATGTGATGAATGTTGCTTAGGGTTAATGATAGCATGAATGAAAGCTGGAATATAGTTAAGGGAAAAGTTTAACCTAGTACTAATTATTATTTGAAATTCCTCATTGAATCAAGCTGTGTCCTTGTTGGAAATTTGGTGCCAACAGAGTTTAAACCTGGCCAGTGCTAGAGGAAGGTTAGTTGTTTTTTTCTTTTTTTTTTTTTGGTTCCGGGGATCGAACTCCGGTCCTTGCGCTTGCGCAGCAGGGGGCAAAACCACTGAGCTAAATCCCCGCCGAGGAAGGTTAGTTTTTAGAGGATTTACTCAGCATCTCGCACTGCAAAGTAGGCGCAGAGAAATTTCAGAGTATATTTAGATTAACAATTTGACATAGTAAGAACAATTTCCTTAGCTATTTATCAAATTTTTAATTAATATCAGAGTTTGACAATATATCAGTTTTTCTCCTGTGAGTAAACTATTTGTGTGTACAGTTGTGTGGTGGAAGAAAGGAACCAGAAGAAACAAGATACTGTCTCCCTCCTTTGCTTTCCTTTTTTCCTTCATGAAGCCACAGTCCATTTTTGTAATGCTGAGTTGATTCTCATTTTTCCTGACTCACATTGTTTTTCTTCCGTAGACTCACTCTGAAGAGAGACCGTTCCAGTGTGATGAATGTAAAGCTTTGTTCCGGACCCCATTTTCTTTGCAGAGACACCTGCTAATACATAACAGTAAGTCCCCATTCAGGCAGTTGAGAACAGAAAGAATCATCTCACACTTTGTTCTTAGATATTTTGAGGATGTAGGCACCTGGAAGTAAACCTGTAAGTGACTAGGTTATCTGCTTTCAAACATCAGAAGGACTAGTAATTCTGCCTTTCACCTTTTCTTCCTTCGTTATTGCTTTATTTTCCGTGGTAACATGAGCTGTTTTGTGACATTTTATATCTTTTCTTCCCAATATTTATAATTATAATTTGTGTTTTAAAACCCTGGATTCACAAAGATCTCTTTGAACTTTGTTTTGAAACAATTTTTTTTTGTTCCTTTTTAAAGATGATGATTAAGGAAACATGTCTATGTCTTTAAAACATGGAGATATCTGGCAAGATTTTATAACTCACAGTCTTTTAGAATTGGAGAAGATTGGAGTGCACATCTAACTTGATTCCTTAATTTGAAAGGAATTGAGAATATTGAGACTCAGAGAGGCACAGTGGAATTTGGGGATTAGTCACCGATAGGTGCCTTTCCCTTTGCTATGTTATCTCTGATTTCTTATTTTGGTGGGAAATTTTTTATTAAGTTCTACACACACACACCACAGAAGTCTATTGCTTGCACTGTTTTTAGAATATCACAGAATTTTTATTCACATCACTGAAGGACGTGATTTTGAGAAGAAAATGTTATTGCAGAGGTGAAGTTCAAAGTGTTCTCTGTTCAGTTGTTGAGATAACCAGATACACTATTGTTCAAATATTGAAGAAAGAATTGCATGATTAAAATTTTTGCCTCTTATTTTAGAGATATTTAATAGGTAGAAAATTCTCTGTACATGTCAAGTTACTGTGCTGTTAAATATTAAATTTCTGAGGTGTGTAAGACAATCAATCTTGACAACTGGTTTCATAGGACAGTATTTTGGAAGAAATTTTCTCTGGTCAAGTTGAAGTGTCTAAAATGAAATATAATAAAGATATTAAAGTTTTATAAATACTGAGTAGTAATGCAGTCTGCTTCCTGTAGGAAAATATCGTGTTATGCTCTCAGGCCATTCTGTGTTCACCTTACAGTTCTGGAGAAGTTGTTAGCACAACTTTCCATTTTCCTTATAAAGAACAACTGTGCATTTAAGAAAAAATTTGTGCAACAGCAGGAATTTCCATTCCATTTCACTTACCATTTTGCTTAAGAAAAGTAATTGTATTGAGATGAGTGGAATTTAGAATAGAGATTTAGACAAGTGAACCATATTCATCTTGTTAAAGTTTTCATGGCTAAATTTGGCCTGATGCACAGGAAATTTTTTCCTTTGGAAAAATGAAATTTTATTTCTTGTAAGAGGAAGGAATTAAAAAGAGATCTAATAATTTTGATTTCAGCTTATTGGTCCTCAACAACTTGAGAAATAGGATTGAAGTGGCTGCCTGTGACTGTGCTGTGTGTTATGCTTTTATTATTTTGTGGATCAGCACAGCAGTCAGGGGCTTTCTGAAGCTGCATCATGATACTTGACCAAGAAAATCAATCTTCATAATTGAGTGGGGAAGGCAGTTATTGATAGTAAGTTAGACACCATTGAAGACCTAGTGAGTTAAAAGGATGGGAAAACAAGAAACAGCTGAAACACAAAGGACAAACTACTAGGTCTTATCTCACACAATATGAAAAGTAAAACCCGTTTAATGTCAATAGATGAAGGCTATTGCTGGAAACTTACATCTGTACTGTAGCTCAAAATACAAATAAATTATAATAATTACTTTAGAAATTATTTTCTAAAACAATTATTTTAAACTACTAAATTATTTTCTATGACATTAAGATCCAAAAGGCAGGTTGCTAGCTAGCTTCTTAACACCTTAACTTCCTTCCTATAGCTTGATAGAGTTTTTGTACAATATTTTGACCAATATTTTGATAGTTCAGTGGAAATTCTTTGGTAGGAGCAATATTAAAGGATTTTAAAATATATTTGTGGTACCTGATTAGATTTGATATTGTTAACATTTATGCTTAAAATCCTTCATCAATTGCTATTTCTTTATATTCTGATTGATGATAATTTTAATTTTATGTAAAGATATATTTAGGGCCGGGGATTTAGCTCAGTGGTGCCGCTGCCTGCCTTGCAAGTGCAAGGTCCCAAGGTTGATCTCCAGTACCAAAAAAACCCCAGATATATTTAAATAAATCTAAAAAGTGTATAAAGACAAAATAGTTTACAAGAATAATACCCTGCAATTAAAATGCATGAAGGTAGCAAACGTGGCTGTCAGCATCCACACAGTTGAGTTCATTCTTGGTAGGGATGTGGCTTTGTTGCATCTCTCAAATGTCAGCTTACAAGAATTTAGAAATCAGGATTCTGTTTGAAAAGACAAAGGGAAGGTAATTTTCTTTTCCTTGTCTCTTTTTTGTTTTTGTCTCTCCCTTTATCTCTTCTTTTTCTCAAATTTAGAGAAATTCTAGGATCTTCCCACTTATAAATTTAGTGCTAGTTATAATAGAAGGAAGTTGAAGGGCTTGGTTGAAACTGGCTGAAAATGAGGTTATCTTATCTTCAACTTCATAGAAAACATTTAGTATTTGTATATTGTACGTTGTAGTCGATATGCTGTGTGGATCTATGCTACTACATCTTAGGGAAACATATTCAAATGCTGTCTATTTTATTCATATAATCATGCTCTATTATAATGTTCTATTATAAAACACCATCTTCTAATTATGCACATTGCTGAAATTGTATTTACAATGGCCCTTAAATTAGACATTCGTGTTGAGAAGAGCTACAAAAGAGAGCATTATGTAAGAGTGAAAAAAGTACCCCTAAGATCTCTAACCATATTTTCTAGAGATGCTTTCTTCTCAGGCCTAGGCCCTAGATAGTAAGAAGAAGATGAAAACCCTCATAGTGTCCAGGGGTTCTTGGGTAGAGGTGGTAACTGTCACTTTTCATTCCCCTGTCCCAAATTCCCTCCCTAAGGGCCTGGAACGCTGCTTCACAGGAGCCAAAGGGCCAGGTCAGGTGAGACCTCCAGTCCTTGCTCTGAGATCCCACTGAGTAAGGACAGAATGTTCCATGCTTCTGCCTCTTCCTCTCCAGAATGAGAGTGGTATAGTGATGTCTATCTGTCTGCCCCCAGCTACTTTCCTCCTAACTGTTATCTATGAACATTCCCCCTCTGTCCATTTCCAGGAGTTCAGAGGGACCATGTTGGGACTTGAGGGGAGTTTGGGAGGACCCCTAAAAGCAACTCACCTTGCATGACAGCAACAGAGGCTTTGTGTCATGGCAAACTTACCTTTAGCCCTGGATCCTACCTGGAAAGGCATACTTTAAAACATGTTCATGGTACCTGTAGAAAATCAGCTGATTCAATTCCCACATTTTCCAGTCAGAGTGACTGAGAACATAGGATAGTCAGACTTTCCTCTGTTAACACACTGAATTAGCAAATATGAAACTGGAATTTGTTCCAAGAAAAAAAAAATGTATGATTGTAAGTTAGAATTATAAAAATAATGTTGATGAGGAATTATAGAACCCTGCTATTGCATCTTATGTTTCTCCTATTTTACATTTTGTTCCTAAGGTGAGAGGACTTTCAAGTGTCATCATTGTGATGCTACCTTTAAAAGGAAAGACACATTAAATGTTCACATCCAGGTAGTCCATGAAAGACACAAGAAGTACAGGTGTGAACTATGTAATAAGGCATTTGTTACGCCATCTGTGCTCAGAAGTCATAAGAAAGTAAGTAGAAGCCTGTGGGCTATAGGTTTGAGGAGTATGGGCATATATGTTAACTATCATGTGATGATTTCATATTAACTTACCAACATATTTACTCAAAATGATAAATGCATAATTTATACCAGCTCTTCAGAAAATACCCATTTTCTTCATTTTTCAAATAGGTGTATTTTTTCCATGATAGACAACCTCAGAGGTGGATGTAGATTTCCCAGTGACCCTTAACTATACCCATAGGTGAACTGTACAGAATTCTCTATGGGTAGAAGCTTACCAATTTTTAAATTTTTGGATTAATGTAAATTTTCTATTTTAAAAATCTGATGAACTTGTAGCTCACTTAGGTATGTTTCATTGCTTATTTAGATGTTTCCTGGGAAGTTATTCGACTGAGCCCTTCTACAATTGGCATGTTTCTTCTCTTTGCATCTCTAGGCCACAAGGGTGTTCCCAGTACAGAATAGGACTGCATAAATATTTGCTTGATTTACATAAAATGGTATTGTTACCTGTAGTGATTGGGAAATTTTTGCATTATTCTAACTAAATAAATACGTTAAGCAAATCAACAAGTTTTTTCTTTGAGGGATAAATGCACTTAAGTACATTTTAAAAATATATTATAATTTGTATTGTAACAAATGCAGTTAATTTAACAATGACTTCAGAAATGACTATGAGGTATGGTAGTTTTCCACCACTGCCAGTTAGCAGGTGTTAACGAGTATGAAGAAATGACTCCCTCTTCAGCATGATTTTGGTTTTGGGACCTGTATTCAATATAATTGTTTTAAAAAGACTGTATTAAGCAGCTCTTTTTTTCTTGCATCTTAAATGCTCAAGAATAATGATACTATCTTCCTTTTAAAATCTCTGAATAGAATAGTCTTTCAAATTTTGCTTGAATTACTTTTTGTATACATTTAGCAAATGTTTTGGGTTTTTTTTTAGTACATGAAAAAAGAGAGATAGTTTTCAAGAGAATTTTGAGTGCAGCAATGGATTGTCACAGATTGAATATTGCAGTGCATTGTTTACTTTTATCACATAACATTTATCCTATTTTGTTCTTATATTGAATTATTTTCATTCTTTCTTATCCATATTTGAGATGGCTTAGTATTGTACTTTCAATGTCTTATAAAACAAGCTTCTATAACCAAATTCTATAACTAGTGATAAGATGTATTTTTGAGTAAAAACAAATATTTAATTATTTTTATAAATATAGCATTAGTGTCCTTTAGTTTGAAACTTCTACTGAGACATACTTTAGGCCTTGTACATAAATAATGAAATATTTACATAGCAGGAAAAGAAATCTTGTGAATTTTATAAAGATATCGTGAATAAATTGTTAGTCACCTGTTTGGAATAACCCATGCTGTGATAATAGATAGTTTTTAAATGATCTTACTCTAGTCAAGAAAAAAATTACCATATTTTACTCCTTTGGGCATGAGAAAACAAGTCTGTAATACGTTAAAGTGTTAATTCTTTCCCTTTAATTGAACCTTAGTGTGAACCAAAGGAAAAGGTTCTTATTAAAGTGTAAAGATGTATAACTCTTTTGTATAAGAGCTTGTAGTAAAGATGGAAAAGTTAAGCTTCTGCCAAGTGCATAATCACAGAGATACCTGAGTGTGGCCCTTGATTAGATTATGTTTCTCCAACTTGAGTATAGCATAAATTCTTTCAAGGGAAAAATGTTCTAAAGGACTAAACTATGTGATATTGACTAAGGTAGTTTATATCTCTTATAAAAATGACAAAGACATTTTCACACATCTAAAATAGATTATAATACAAATATTCAAACTTGCAAATTAAATACCAGTAAGCTGTGAAAGTAATATATTAAAGTTAACAATTAATTGACTATGGAAGATGAAAATGTGCTATTATGGTTCTGTGACTTTATCAGGTGGTGTGGTAACAGCCCATTCCTTTTTCTCTATCCTAGCCAGTTTTTCCTTCTGAAAACACCCCATTATAAACAAACATTTCCTATTTTCATTACTCTATGACAATTCAGATAACAATACCTGCCAGTAATTTGCATAAGAACTAATTGATACACAGGCCCTGGGAGCTCTGTTTCGTGAGAGTAACCCAAATGATCCATTGTCTGCTTTTATTAATGTGTAAGTTATCATTGAAAACAAATTTCCAAAGCATTCTCTAGAACCACTGAGGTAAATCCCAAGCCCCCATCTATCTTTTTTTTTAACCTCTTGAGTTTGAGAAACAGTGGGGCTTGATCAATAGCTTTGATCCCTCATTTACTGGAATGATCTGTTTTGATGTTATTAGAAAAACTGGTGTCCTGATGAGACTGTCTAAAACACTCCATCTGCCCCTTCTTTCTGGAGCGGTTACTTTTTAAACTCTCCAGCATTTATTGAAACTCACCTTTGATTATACTTCTTCACCTTTCCCACGATAATTGTTTCATGCCTCAATTAAAGGTATGTTGAGGGTAGAACTGCTTCTTCACATTGCCTAATCAATTAATACTTGCTGATTTTAAAAATCAAATTAGATTTATGTTCCTTTCTGGCTTGCACTAAAGTCAGTCCAGATAAGTATAGTGTAACACATGACTTTATTGAGATTAATTCTGTCCTCAAGAATTAAATACACACAAGGAATGTGAAAAATGCTTCAAAGGAAATGTTTCTTGGCAGCAGTTACAGACAGCTATAGCCCCATTTTGATTATGTGGTTTTGTTCCTATATACTGGTTTTGTATAATTTAATCACTTTTAGATGGAGGCTCCATAAAGGCTTAAAATGTAAACTGCAGAATTATTTTCAGATTAACACTAATGCACACTTCTATGAGTTTTTTGAACCCTTGGCAATATCCATGATAAATTGTTTAAAATCTCATTGTGATATTAAAACATTTTAATGAAACATAATCCTGGACAATAAGGATTTACTGTTGTCAGAGGCACTTAATCATCTTTACCCCATTCCTTATGTTTGTCCTCAGCTCTTTTTTTTCCTTTCCTTGTAGACACATACAGGAGAAAAGGAGAAAGTCTGCCCATATTGTGGCCAGAAATTTGCCAGCAGTGGGACACTGCGAGTTCACATCCGGAGCCACACAGGTATAGAAAATGATCAGGGATGAAAACAACTGAGAGAGCTTGTGGCAAAACAGAGGATGGTGTGGTATACTGAAGTAAATCCAAGATTAAGAATTAGTCTTCCTTAGGGCCGGGGATTTAGCTCAGTGCTTCTGCCACCTGCCTTGAAAGCATAAGGTCCTGAGTTTGATCCCCTGTACCAAAAAAAAAAAAAAAAAAAAATTAATCTTCCTTATAGTAATGTAAAATACAGTTCCTCACTCTACAAGAATTTTGAATAACTGTAATTTCCCAAATTAAGTAAAACATCTGAAGTAGTGTTTTTTACAATGGTTGCTTGTGATATAACTGTGACTTCTGTTATATAGGAGTCTAACAGATGAAAAAGGGAATAATAGTTTTACTTTCTGTAGAAGGGTGCAGGCCTCCTCTTACAATTTCTTCTGTCACTCATATCAAATATGGCTTTTTACAATTTAGAGTCTTTGGAATGCGACTTGAATGTGATCGGGTATTATTGGATAGGAATGGGGTGTGACTATAGTATCTGTTAGGCTGTGAAGTCCCCTTCTTTTCTTATTCCTGTGCCATTTCTCTGATGAAGGAGGGTGTGCTTTTCTGAAGGGTGAACAACTGAGCATTCTTAAAAGAACCTTGTCTGGATTTTATCTACCATGTACATAAGTACTTCAAAAAGACCTGAATATTCTTAATTTTGATATCTAAATGATTTTACAATATTCTGAAATTTTTTTCAGTAGATAGACTGTATTTTTATGGTCTACTATATAATCAGTTGTATAGATGAAGCTTCCTACTCAAGGGCAATAGTGTTGGACTTTAATCCTTATCTCCCCACCTTGCATAGTATGTAGCACAGTAACTGTGCTGTAAATGAAGAAATCTTAGTTTAAGCAGGACAGAGAATCTCTACTATGGCTACTACATATGGGTGAAGGAAAGGACAAGAGTGGAACATAATGTTCAAATTAGTGTTTATTGTCTTAGAATAGCCACTTAAATACTTTTGAATGACACACATAACCAAGAATAGATCAAGCTTTCTCCATGACGGTTATGAACTACTAGGTGCTCTAGAGAAGGAAAGGAAGGTCTTCTTGAATAGAGGTTATCTAGAGAAGGCAAGGCATTTGGGACAAGGTCCAGCTGTGTTGCAGCAGTAGAGAGCAACAACAAGAAAAGTAGAGAGAGGCCAAAGGAAAGGCGCCATAGAGAGCCATGTTGGAAACATGTGCACTTCAATTTGGGCACATGGCTTGCACATCGTGTGTGGATTGTTCAGTAGAAGAAACTGAGAGTTTTGAAGTCTGAAGTCAGCCCCTGCGGTCTAGTGGTGTAGCCTCTTATGTCCTTGTGCATCCCTCTCTCCTGTGTCTGTGTGTATGTTGGGCTGAATGGATTTGGGGTGGGATAAGGGCAATAATTAAGTCAACCACCTTCCTTTCTGCATTAGCAATCCTTGGTTGATGTCTTTATGCCACATTGAATATATAACTTACTGTGTGCTTAGCGGCTTTCATGTGTGCATGTCTGTGCTCATGTCTATAATTTGTGTATAGGGGAGGGCAAGTAGGGAACAGGGAAAGTGTAGTTCATCAGCATAGCAGAGTAATGAATCCAAAGACCTGATACATCATGCTATAATTCAATTTTGGTTGATCTATAATATTTTTAAAAGGCAGAAACTTTCACTGTTCGTAATGCATTAAGACATAGATGCCAGCACAGAAAGGATGAACCCAATCAAGTAGAACACTTGATTTTTCAAATTAATTCTATTCTTGAGAATTCTGAGTGCCTGTATTTTATTTACTTTTGGAAATATAGGCAGTAGAGAAGAATAAAGCAATTAAACTAGTAATTGTTCCTAAAATTTTAATTATCATCCTCTATGAAGTTCTAATAATAAGCAGACTTATTTTGAGGTTCAAGAATTTTCTTGGATAAAAATATTAAATGTATTATGTATTTGTTGTTGTCTTGAATTATGTTGTATATTACATGTAATCTAAAAATACCCTAAAATCCAAATTATTTTATACATGACTTAGTTACCAGGGTTGTTAATTAATGTGGCTTCTGATCAAGGGCACCGCCATCTGAATGCTGACAGCAGCTCTGAGCAACAGTGAGCTAACATGTGTATTTTAACAAGTAGATAGACAGGACAGATAGATGCGGAGGCACAGAGAACCTAGACAGGACATATTGACAGGGAGGGTGTTTGTACGAGTAATTGCATAACTTTAATTTTTATATAGTTACTTACTCAGAACTAGACTTGTCTGTTTAAAATCAAACTCATTTTACCTTCCCACCTTACAGTCCCTCTTTGGGTTCTTTTGAAGTTAAGTCTGTTCAATGATAACTTCCTGGCAGTGCGGCTGGGGATGTGTTGGAAGTGTGCTGGGTGCCGGACAGTGTCGGTGACCACAGAGACCTGGCTGGTGGCTGCCATCTGGGCTTCCACAATAGTCCTGGCATGGGTTTCTTTTCTTGTGTGAACAAATGGTGATTTGCTTTTCTTTAATTTTCTTTGTCCTTCCCTCTGAATGGTGCATGATTATGAACCTTCCCAAGCTACATCAGTATTCACATGGGATTGTATAATTATTTTACTATTCTGACAGTAGAGCTGTTATCATTTTGAGTTATGTTTCCTCTCTCTTTTCCTTATAAAGTCACATGATTTTATTCAGCCCTCTCCTAATGGTAGGTGTAGCAATTTATGGTCGTGCTATGGTGTGGCATAGGTAAAGGGTCATGGCATATTCTTTAGGGAATATTTCCTTGTATATGATTTAGAGAGGATACAGTGAAGTAGCAAAAACCACGAGTGAAGATGGTACCCAAGCAGCAAAGGCAGCGGATGCAGACCTTGTGAAACAGAAGCCGTGATGCCAACTATGGCTTCATTGCTCTGTGACACTTGTACAGTTGGGGACCCAGGGGAGCTAATGTGGGTTAGGGATACAGCTATTTACTGTATTAGCACTTAAAGCCGCTCACTGTGTTAGAAAATTTTTAAAAATTGTTATTTTGATAAAAATGACAATATGCTCATTACATGTTAACATATTTTAAGAGAAAGTAGTAGCATTTTTTCCAAACCAGAAATCATTTAGCGAGACTGGAGACATTGTTTTACTTTTCTGTAAATCCTTACTGTCTAGTTTAAGAGAAGACAGCTATATTCTCATATCTGTTTCTTCATTCATCCTTTTGCAGTGCATAATTTTGGTTGGAGGGTTTGAAAGAAATCTGCCCTTGCGTAGATAGGCATTCAAAGCATGAGAGTATGTTAAGTCTTCGTCAAATAATTTTGCATATTTGTTACTGTGTTAAAAATTAAAAGGTGGTAGTTTTTTTAAAGGCTTCTTGTAGTGTACAACCTAAAATTATCTCAGTAAGCTTTTCTGTTCTGTTACATTCGAGGAAATTGGTCTGTTGCACTTTCAATGATCCTTTACCCCGGAGAGATTCTGTAACATGATGCTCAAGTAATTTGGAATATATCCTGTCACTGATGTGAGGAGATCTTCCACATTTGTTAATATCATCACTGTTCTCATTAGACAGTCTGAGTATTTGGAAGCTTTGAAGCACATGACAGCAGACACAAGTTTTCCAAAATTCTGAATTTGGCTTTACCTGTTTTAATTTTCATATTTTGTAACAAATGCTATGATATCTTTCATTATTTTTTCCTAAAATTATAAGCTTACTTCTTTTATATTCAAAAAATAAATGTGCATTAAACACCCAACTTTTTTTTTGGTACCGGGGATCAAACTCGGGACCATACACTTGCAAGGCAGGCAGCAGAACCGCTGAGCTAAATCTCTGGCCCCAAAACACCCAACTTTTAATAACCATGCTTTGTCTCTCAGTCATTTCGCTTCAAATGTAAAAATGGTGTTCTATGAAAGAGGCTGCCGGTACATCTCCCAATTCCATCACTGGTGCCTTTCCCTAGGTGATTTTCCTATATTAGCATGCATTACCAGTACTTCCAGCTTAATTCCCATGTTATCACAAAGAATATTAAAAAGATGGTACTCAAGAGTTAGGATTTAATGAAATTATTCATTTTTATTTTATCAAGGATATTTTCAAGTATAACTGGCATTTATTTCTACTATGAGTGTGTGGATGTGAAAACTGCCATGATTAGTAGAAAAGTTTGAGGCCATTGGTCCATACACACCACAGCAGCAGTTTCATTCCCCCCAAAACTTTTGTATCATTAATGTAAATGTCAACATGGTGGAAAAGGCAAATAACTCACTCAATAGAATTGTTATGAAAGTACTTTTAATCTTGCAGACCTTGTGAGAATCTTGGGAATCCCCAGAGGTAAAGGGGTCCTACTTTAAGAACTGCTGCTAGATGGATAAATACCTAGCAAAAAATCTGTGTGAGAGTGTGTGTGTGTGTGTGTGTGTGTGTGTGTATGTGTATTGGGGAGGGTAAGGAGCAAGAGGCAGGGAAGATTGTGTTGACTCATAATAAGGACCCAGCTGACAAAGGCCCATTCTGTCTAACTAGGGCCATTTCTTTTACCTGATTTCTCAGACTCGTATTGCTTCCAACTAATGCTTTGGCTTTCCTGATAATAAATTCTCAAGCTTTTGCTCTTCCTTCTGATGAAACATGCTAATGTCTCCTGTCAATGCCTTTGCTAGAATCTGGATTTCAATAAGCCAGCTGATGAGTGGGAAGTTTTCCAACTCTGACTATAGTGTTGTATAGGAACTGTTCACTGTTGGGTTGATACTGTTATATTTATAATTGTAAGCAGAAAATCATTAAGGCTTTTCAAATTTGGGCATATTTGTACCTCTATTTCAGAGCTTTAAAATTTACCTGCAGATAGCAAAAAATAGAACTTTGCTAAAAGATTATCCTGTCAGCAAGACATTTATGGATATTTTAAATCATTTAGTAGGGCTTTGGGATACTCAGCTGTCTTAGGCACTTTCCAATCCTGGAGACATAAT